GCCGTTAGTCGGCCGTCCACCGGACGTGTCTTTAATACGGAACGAGCTTGCCCGCGGACTGCGGCCGTTTTGCTATGTATTCCGATCGCGCGTTCCCAAAACCGTTAGATCCGTTTTCAATGCTTCGAAACTCCAAATTCCGAATAATCGGAGCAAAAAGAAAAGACTCGCACCCCTCCAGCTTGGAGACCACCCAAATTCCCCCGCAGCCCAAACCCTACGTTAAACAATCTCGCAGGATGTGCCAGTTAACGCAAGGAGTGCGGAGCTGTTTGCTTTCGCGTAAACAGCTGATGCGGCGGTTAGAAACGGGGGGAAACGGTGATGAGGAAAGGGGTTGGGGAGCTAAATCAAGACGTACATTAGACCTCCCGTGTACTGGGAGTGGTGGGATTCGAGGTGGGGTACGGCAAACATAGTTATTTTATAGGGATAAACGGAGGTTGGTGAGTTGGTTCGGAGAATTTGGAAAGCGTAGGGGGGAATATATGCGTGTACGTCGTAGTCGATATTATGTAACACGTTGCAGAGATGAAGTAAAGATGAAACACAAGATTAATTTAATTCAAAGTCTGAAGATGGTACTGATTAATGGGAAAAATAATTTTAAAATCATCTGGACGCTTTCCAAGACGTCATGCCAATTCCTGGAGGATAACGGTGCCTGCCAGAACGTGTTCAAGTGCGGATGGCGCCTGGGGCAAAGCGTCGAGGCAGTGGGCCGATTTGAAATTCACTTTGGCCCTTTTCCCGAGGCCCCCTTTTCCGATTGAAGGGGACCGGGCCGTTTTGTCTCTCCAATCGATGCTCCGGAGAAGGCATAATGATCCCCCGTGAAAGGGATAATCGCCTTCGGTGTGCCGGTTCGGATAATCAAAGCGGATGCCGTCTTTCATCTTTTTCATCTTCGTCTTCCTTCAATTCGGACGAAGAAGTACGCCGAGACTTCCTTATAACTCGTTTCCTTCACTAAAACTGGAGGAGGTGAACGGGTTGATGGTCACGACTATTACTATTCCTTTATTTTTCCTGTTCGTTTTTACTTTTCCTTTGGTAATGTATCACTGAAGTAATTATACCGTCCCCACAATTTATTTCCTTTTCTCTTTTCCGAAGATCACGCGCAAAATCTAATCAGCTAAAACCGCGAGAAACTTGGAAAATAGGGGAAAAGGCACGCGTAAATCATGGCCTCGCGGAAAACAAAAGCCTGTGGTAATCTGGGTGTCCTAGCACCCTTTCTAATTTATCGATGGTTAATTTAAGGAGTGCTCGATTTTATGGCCGCGAATGGCGACGTTTAATGTTCCGATTTTTTATCATGGGTCTTCGAGAGAATTATTAGAAAAACGTACTGTTAAATGGCCAAAAAGGTTCAAAGGGATTTCTCGGTACGTATTAAGGTGAATGTGACAGACAGTTGGATCCGAAGTGGGCATGGGCATTAGTGGACCAAATAGCCGCATTAAATTGTCTCTCAGCTCGGACATAACCATTTTCTAAGCATAAGTACTTGCTATAAACTTCTGCACCACTTTGAACCTGCAAAAGGGACAGAAAGGTGCATCCGTAAACATTTTCACAGACAGTCGGACCGCCCTTAAAACAGTTCAGGCCTACACATGTGATTCCGCACTGATCAGAGAGTGTACCAGCAATATGAGAGAACTCGCTAGGAGCAATGATGTTACTCTATGGTGGATTCCAGGTCATAGAGACATTAAGGGCAATGAGAACGCAGACAAGCAGGTCAAAGAGGCAGCAAAAACGTTCTTTATTGGACCCCAACCCGGTTATGAACCACAAAAAAGCTACCTAAAACAAGTAAGTTGGGAGGCCTCAAAGATAGTCTTACGCTGGAAAGAACTTCCAGGTCACAGACAAGCGAAGAGTATGATAATTTTGTCGCAAAACAAAACTAAAGAGGTTTTATGCCTCAGCAAAGGGGATCTAAGGATGCTCTCAGGTTTCCCGACCGGCCATGCCTAAAATATCAACTCTTCTACATTGGAGAAGCTGAAGATCAAACTAGTCGACTTTGCAACGCCGAGTCAGAATTCTGCCTAAGACACAAAATTTTCAACAAAGCTGTTTTGATACCTAGACATAAAGGAATTAGACTTCGAGCAATACTAAGGTTGATTAAGGACCTACATTTTGCCTAAACTTTTGGAGGGCTGAAGTTATAATAGATCTTATAGGTCGCGGTGACGAGAGGGGCCCGGCAGTAATAATAATAATAATAAAGCTGAATGTTCAATTTTTTTTCAAAAAATTTTTATAATCCAATAAGTTTTATACCTACATCATACTAGAAACGAAGTGTTCGGCTTTAATTTGATATCAAAAGCGTTTAATAATTTTCAAAAATAACACTTCTGTGGTTTTATTAATATTGATTGTCACTTTAACGTTTTTATAACTCCAAATTTTTTTGTGGATTTTTATAATTCAACCCAAAATGTTTCCTCGAAGTCTAAAGAATATTTCGATACGTGAGGAAATCGATTTTCCGTCATGGACGAGCTGGAAGGATGGTGGATAAATCAGGATACTGCAAAGCGATACAAATTACGAGCGCGAAAAAAGCGCTTCCGGACTGTCCTCGGGGGTGGTTTCGCTGACTGAGCGGCAATAACTTCGGATAATAGAAATAATAATCCTGCGGAACGGGAAAGGACGCACCGGAAGTGCGAAATAAGCGCCGAACTTACCCGTTGGCAGAGCGACGTTGGCGGTGCCGCTTAATTACAATTTAAAATTGCCGCCATTACTCAAAGTCGCCGCGATCTGCCAACTGGAAGTTAAAACCTCCCGGATAATTGGATGGGGTTTCAGTAATTTTCTGCTTATTGTCTTACTACTGCCGTTTCCTCTCCAGTCTCCCTGCTATCTTCATCAGAATTACCTTGCAATTTATCTTTCGCACCCTTTTTACTTTCTTGTTATTAAAAACGAGGGTTCTGGTAAAAAGAACTTTACTTACATTATTAATTCAAGTTTAAGATTTTTTTCACAGATTATTTTGACTTTAACTTTTAGAGAAATGGGTTTAGTTTAGTGTTGTAGAAATGTCTAAATCAATACCACTACGTGGTAAGCGGAGATACGTTTGTAGGAAGCAGGAAGCTGAATTCCCGAACACCTCCCGACCTCGCTGAGATAGATTTCCATCATCAGGGGCACCGCGAAGTTCCGCAATGCATCCTGGGAGAAATTGGCCGCGCAAATATTTCACAGGGGCGGCAGCATTAGACTTTAAAATTCGCCTCCATACGGCGACGAGCTCAGCGATCAGCCAAGAAACAGAAACTGAATTTATTCCGCCGATGTGTAAATAGAGATTCGGCGGCCTCGTGGCGAGCCCCCAGGCCCGAATCAATTTAAATTTCATATATATCAATTTGGGAGTGAAATGTTGTTTATCCACTTCGAAATAGGACGAGCCGCCGCGACCCCAAAACCATGGTATGTGACGCCGACTTTGGGAAAGTTCGCGCGCAGAATTAATTATGGCGATGACGCTGCCGGATGATGAATTATTTTAGTCATTAGGGCGCGCACTTTGGCCTGGATGTAAATCAAACTGCCGCGTTGGTATAACTGTTTACGAAACTCGATGGCACATATTTCCACGGTTTCCCCAGTTGTAAATCTGGGCAAACGTAATTGACGGGTGATGTATCGGTTGCAACGACTAAAAACTGATTGAAAATAACGTCCGCTATTATTTCTACGCATGTCACCAGATTCGCAATGACGTTATCTGGTTCCACAGAAATATCCCTCGTTTTATACGTTTCTCTCAACAGGATAAACTGAAAGCGACTCGTTTATGTCGGGTGGACGTTAATTACGGGGGGAGAAGCAATTTTCTCTTGGAAAAGTAAAACGAGACAAAAGTCACGCCGTACGCAATTTCACCTAATCCCGTGGTCGCCTATAACACTTTTTGCTTTCCCTACGAACAGTTGAAAGATGGTGGATGATAACGCCGACGAGACTATTACTCCTATACCTCGACCTGCACAAAAGCTTTTATATCATTATTTATATAATCTCTATAGCAATACAGAAAAAGGCTCCTTTTCTCTTTTTTGTAGTGAATTAATCCTCGAGGAATCACCCCTGAAGATTGTGCGGAAAATTTATTGATCTATTCATAGGCGACAGCCAATTTGAAATAATTGCTAATTTCGCCGAATAATGGAATAAACAAAAACCAACTATCCGAGCAATGATACGAATTGAATTTTATAAAATTTCCTATTTATATGCAGATTAGGGTCGGCGGGTGGGTCGCACCCCCCACGTCCCCCTACTGTTATGAGCGCTAAATGAATTTTGAGTCACCCCATTGTGCATGTGCGAAAAAACCTTTGGGCGACACACGTGCCACCTATTGTCGAACGTTCGATCTATTTATAGATAGCACCCGAATCGAAAAACTATTCCAAAAAAAAAGAACAGAAATATCCCCGCTGTATTATCTTTGTTACTTCTCAGAAATAGTAATTAAAATCCCGATATCGATACGCCCTCAGAAAATAAGGGAACCCATTGTTTGTTCTGAACGGATACGTTGGACGTTGAGCGCTGAATCATTCCCACCGTCCGCATTGATATAATCTGTTAGATGATATGTCATCTATTCCTAATTCGGAACCCCGTAGCTCGATCCCAGCTCGAGGACGGGGAGGCATTAATGACCCAGAGTAAATACAATGGGGCACCGCTCCGCGGCCGACTGCAACTCATTACTGTAATGAAACGCAATTTTAGAGCCAGATGATACCTCGCTCGAGAGGGTTATCCCATCAGATCGTGTAATGAGTCTTCCACTTGTTATCGAAAGGTTCCGCCGACTGAAGACCTATTTACTAACTTGATACCGAGACAATTAATTTTCATTCAACTTAACACATCAGTTATTAAAATTTAAGCTATATTAGATGAGATGTTATGATAATTTTAATGATTTCGCGATGATATCAACTTACCGTTATGTACTAACAGTGTCGAATCTCGTGCCAAAGCCAATTCAGAATCAGTCAAGGTTGCGTCAGATGCGTTTTCAGAAGAAGGGGTATCGCTGAGTCCGGCTGGTTGCTGGTAAAGGGGATGTTGATAGGTATGCTGGGGATACCTTCGCGGGGAGACTTCCCCCTCCGATCCGCTGAGACTATAAGCGGCGTACAATCGCCCCTTCCCTGTCGACAAAAAAGAAGCATCAATCCGAGTTCGGACAGTGGGAAAAATCGGTCAAAAAACAGGTCGACGCGACGATTCGTTTACGCGTCATTTGCGAAATTGATATCGCACAGCGGAATCGTCATGAATGGGCCTCGGAAGCGGAACTAATGCCAACATAAAGCATCCCGGCATAGGGGAGTTAGTTTTTCCAGAGGGTAATGCGATTTGTATACGTTGTGTCGGGTGCAGCTTGTGATATTAATGTTTCGAACCCTACTAACCCCTGTGCGTTATCTTCGAATCTAAACGTTATGCAACATAATTCGAATAGATGACGCTTTAATTCGATCCTTTACGCGTTAATAACGTGTTAGAATTAATTATCATCCGTCAATTAATCTGACGCCTCTAATATGTAAAAGGCGGTCATTCGTGGAATCTAATTAATTAACTAATTCCATCTTGATTGCTAAAACATATATTATATTACTATGGTTGTGGATACTTTGTGCTTAAATTTTATATGACAGCTAACGTAATATTTAGGTTCGTGTAGGACTTATAAGCAGCAAGAAAGTTAACGTCGCGACGTCGAGGGTTAGTGAAGACGATCAAAGACAGCCAAGGGATATTAAAATAGCGTTTAAAACGGATTCGACGGGAACCGTACCTGTTCCCGGAGTACCGGAGGCAGTGTTTTATTACGGGGTGACTGACAACGGCATCACGAGGCTTGATGGGGTCGCTATACACTTCAGACGACTTCATAAATTCCTTCCTCTGAAAAGCAATTTGATCAGAGTTGACAGTAAATATCGAGTCGCCGTTCCTCACTTTGTATCCGCTAAATCTTCAGAGATGATACTTTTTAACTAGGCTCACTTTGCACGAACTCGTCTCGAAGGAGGCGAACGCGTGACGGAATCTAGGGGTGCCTACGGCAACTCTCGCAATCAAGCTACGACCGGTCTAATTGGTTCAAACTGTTCTAATAAGAGCAAATTCAGCAACTGTCTTACCGCGTCCTAATTCTCTTAACTAACGCCTTCGTTAGATAACGCGGCGTAAATTGTTTACGTCCCTAAATTGTACGATGTTAATTCTTGTTGATTTTGGATTGCTTCTATGGTTATTTTAACTGAAACGTTCTATCCTGTGTGGTTTCAAGTTAATTCCGTAGATATGACGAAGCATCCCCTCGAATGAGTATTACAAGTGATCGTTAGTCGAATAGAAAGGACTAATAAGTCCAATAAAGAATAAATTGCAACTCATGTCCTTCGATATTTCGAAACCCCCTGAGGGTGGAAATTAATTTCGTTTGCAGACGCTTACTTTTGGGTTGGTCCCACTTGTGCTGCGTGACTCGGGGGCGGCGGCGCATCGTTTTGACGCCGTCGGCGCGAGGGTAACGATCAAACGGGCGCCCCAACGGGTCGAACACGTGACAACGCTGTGTCAACAAGTAATTAACAACATCAGTAGACATGACGAATGGATTCGCCGCTAAGTTAGTTTCTGGGCCGGCTCGGGGCGAGCATGCATATGCATGCATCGTTCGCATTTGCATGGATTCGGGCGTCGCGACGCCTCGGCCGAACGTTAAAAATACCCCTTCGTTACCTAGGTACCTATGGCCATAAATATCCTGGGCCATTACTTCCGAACGACACTTCGTTTTAAGGGTGGTCGCCGCCGCGGTAAAAATAATAAATTTCGAGATCGTCTTGTCCCGACTCGATTTATCGTCCTTAGGGGCTCGCACGGACAACCCTGGAACGAGTTTTCAATCGTCAGACGAAGAGTAAATCTCTATTTTTAACGTGGTTCCGAGGAAAAAATTAGGTTTGCTCTGGTAATTTACTACAACTGCCCATCAAGTGGTTTAGACTTCTAGAAAAGAGGATTGATTTGTTTTCAGTTTAAAATTAACCCATCCATTTTCTTTTCTCCAATAAGATAAGCACATAGGTACATTTATTTCAATTCAAGGAAATAGAAGTTGAAATTGCTGATATCTAGGCTAGTGATGATATATGGTGGCGATTACAACAACAATAAAACATCTCAGAACCCACCATATTCACATTAGCCGAGGCACCATATCGCATCCACGCACATATTGGCCCCATCTCTTTGGGCACGTGACGCTTAAGAATTTCAATACCGGTGAAATATAAGCGCCAAAATGATGTTTAGTATCGGGGCGCCCTACGTCTCTGCTTCGATCGGCAACGTGACTTATATCGCAGATAAATCAAGCTCGCTTGAATATTGCATGGGCATCGTGACGCGACGCCCTGAGGATGGGGCACCCCACAACCTGAGGATGACATCTCCCAACCTAGATCAACGGTTGACAGTTGCAGGGGAAAGCCCGTTGGGAAGGTTTAGTTCGCGAAAGTACTAAGGATTGCCCCCTTCCTTAAGAGTGCATGCAAAGTCCGCGTACAACCCTCGATACACACCTTGCAGAGGGTGCCTCGGGTCGTTTTACGGTCGCGCTGAATGTTTAAAGGGCTTGAATAATCTATCCTCACGGTGTTATGACGCTCAATCGACTGAACCGGGCGAGCGCTTGCGATTCGACCGAGGAAGGATGGGAGAGGATGTGAACGTTAACGCGAAATGCACTAGTAAGGGTTTTCCCACTCTATTGGCTTTAAATCTTCCCTTAGTACTTTAATCTTTTTTCCTTTTTCTTTCTTGGAAATCGTAGTGTTACAGAAGATTGTAGTATACAAAAAGAAGGACACCAAAACTCCATTACATTAAAAGTCTCTACACATCTAAAACTTTATTATCATTACAATTTATGTCACAAAGAATTATAAACAAGCTATCAGTTATATCGACATATAATCTCCTCACTTAAAGCAATAAACATTAAAATAAAAATTTAATCAAACCAACCAATCTAAACTAGAGCGTTACGTATTTACATTGGCTGTTTTTGTTCTAAACAAAATGGATAACGGCCTATCAAACATGTAGCAGGTTGATTTTTTTTGTGAGTGCAATAATATTTACAGAAGGACAATGGATGATGTTGCGAACGGGATGATGGTTGTTAATCGATTCCGAGGGCTTTGTGTTTGCTCTTTTTTTGTCGAAGTTCATTGTTCTTTTAAAACCGGCACGATTTGAAAATTTTAAAATACTGCGTGATGTGATTTACCTACTTGCAGTAGAGTTGGATTGCGTTTGAGCAACGAACGCACCCCAATGTTTGATCAATACGAATAATTCCCCCTTGCACCCTTTATGCAATAACTCACGCGGGCGAAACTAATTTTCATGTTGCCTTGTTACACGTGGAGGAAGGTAACGCTTCGTTCACGTCACGCATCATGCTAAACTACAATTTCCGCATGATAAAGGTTTTTATATGCATCTAATTAAACTTTTTCTTCAATACCTTCTCACACAAACAATCAATATTTGTATAAATGTTGTGTGATCATTATCTCTCGCCATCTGAAATCCAATTTCATATAAACCAGCAAAACAGCTTACGACATGAGTGGCAAATGACGAGAAAACCCTGCAATTAAGTCTGTGGTAAATCGATTAAGGAACTTGATGCGTACCGAATTAAATCTTTACAACAATATTTAAACAACATAGAACCCTATAGTCACGAAATATGGAAAGCAACAAGAAGAATCACGAGTAAATCTAATGAAATATCAACTTTAAAGATTGATAACGGAAGGGACTTGTATTTAATACTACTACATCACAATGTATTTTCCAATATTGTATCAATATGGTATCATCTGTAACATCTCAATCGTAAGCAACCTTGGCTTAATCACCTTAAAATATTTGATTTTTCCGGGTTACGCCGAGGTCGCCTGAGTTCGAGGCGCTACATTTAATACTACTTTATCACAATGTATTTTCCAATATTACATCAATATGGTATCATCTGTAAAACCTCAATCGTAAGCAACCTCGGCTTAAACAGCTTAAAATATTTGATTTCTTTCGGGTTAAGCCGAGGTCGCTTGCGGGCGAGGCGCTACATTTAATACCACCTTCTCACAATGAATTTTCCAATATTATATCAATATGATATCATCTGTAAAACTTAGGTATTGCAATTCCATTCAAGTTTTACAATCCCGAGATTTCGGGATTCAAAATATTTTATCATTAAATGTTAATTCGTCTAAAGCTGTCCTACGAGCCAGTGTTTCGTCTAATGTGGATTTTTTTCCGATATAAAGTAATCTGTCAATTTTCCTTTCATAGGAAGCTCATAATTATGTTCTTGACTAGCACTAGGCAAATTTTGGTCAGCTGAACGTACTTTCAAATTATGCCTTGTTAATAAATGCGTATGAAGGCCTTTTGTAGAACCAACCAATGCTTTTAGCATAGATCCACATTTCTTACGATTTGCAGTTTTATTGTCACTCGACTTTAAATAATGCGACCACACACACAGATGTTCAGTCTTTATCTTTATTATGTAAAATAAAAGATGGTTCTTTTTCAGACATGTTTCCAATGATATTTTTTTAAATACCAGTGCAATCAAATTAATTTGACTAAATATACAGGGTGTTCAGAAATTGGCTGATAATCTACTCGCAGCGATATTCTACGACAGACTATGAAGAGAAATTTTTAATGTTAAAATGTTGTTCTACTATGTTGCCAAATGTGTTGTTCATGAAGATATGATAATGAAAAAATGTTAAAACCGAACTTTAACGCTAAAGAAAATAACTTTAACTAAAAAACTAGTTCTAGAAATTCTTTTTATTCTAAATTACAGCTTATTTATCAACAGATATTGAATATTAATGATTATTTATGGACAAATTATCCGACCTTTGGTGCAACATTTTACAATTAATATTTTCGCTTTAGAATCGAACGAAGAATGTCGCTACGTGTAGATCATCCGCCAATTTCTGTACACCTGTATATCAATTAATATTACTTTTAAAATACACTGTTCACACTATTACTTTTAAAATGTATTTATTCACCATTTCATATAGTG